GATCCTGCGCCGTGAGCACAGCAAACCATGACAGCATCTCGCGAACAAGAAACAACTCTGCAACCCCACCTACCTCAGTCCCAAACCCAGGACCATAGATGCTTCGGAAAAACACAACAAAACGCCGACGTGGGCTGCCACTGCCTTGCTTTCCGGGCTTGGTGACCCTGGTGGATCTGAGCGGCGCCGGGAGTACGCCTTCCTGGCACAGGGTGGACTCTTCTGCAGCTCATACACGAGAGGAGAAGAGAGAACAGCCGTTGTCACGAGCAGCTCAACATCTGAAACCTATCGGGCGGCGACACGTGTCAATATCTGTATACTCAAGCCATATCATTGAATCACAAAGTCGAGCGAAGCCGGAAGCCCTTCGGCAAACATGTACTGTAACGCCCACCTCATCTCACGTCGGGTGCGTGGCGTCTTAACCTGCAGAGGCACCGGAGACTCCGGAGACTGCAGCAGCATTGCATATCTTTGCATTATTGCATTGCAACTCAGGGCTTAATTCGGGCAACTTTAACGGGTTTTCAACAGGTACACGGACCCACTGGTTCTGATCTGCTTCTTGAGCATCAGCGGGGGTCGACGTCGCACATGTCTCCCTCTGAAGCAGTGCCATGTCGGGGATTCGGAGGATGCTCGTCGGTTAGGATTCAGTGAGCCGCAAAACGTGTGCCCTGCAGGATCAAAGGAGGGATCCAGACGTCACCTCGCCTGGGAGAAGAGCCCTGGCTCTTCGTCCGAGGAGTCTCCAGATCCAGAGAGTGGGCTCGGGCCCCGCCTGAGCCACAACAAGGCGAGCAGGCCCCAACACAGCGCCGTGGCGAAGGGGGGACCGGGGGGGAGGGGGGGGGGGGGCAGGGGGCGGGGGCTTCTGTAAGAACCAAACCCTCACAACTCCACATGAGAAGCCCCAGCCAAAAGCTCGGAAAACCCTCGCCCCTGAAACTAAACACCTGCTACATCCAGCTACAGTACCCTGCCTCATTCCGGGCTGCGGCGGTTCGAGCGTGTTGCCTCGGCCACAGGGCGTTTCAGCTTGCGTCGGCTTCGAGTGTTCACACTGTAGCTTAGTACAAGCGTGTGCATACATCCTCGAAGCCCATGGATCCCAATATCCTTCGGCACCTGGGAATGTCTTCGTGTGTTCGTGTGCGAGCACGATCATGAGAGGGCTTTATAAAGTGGATCAAACATGCAGTGTGTGTGCGTGCTCTTGCTGTTCGAGCTGTTTTCCCCCTTATCTCTGGCAACGGCGCTTCCTTGTGGAGACCCTCGGACAGCACAGAGTAACCCTTGAGCTCCGGCATGTTTAGGATGATTGGGCCTGAACCTCCATGTCTCCTGCCTTCAAGACCAGGCCGAGGTGACCTAGCTTCTTTGCCATTCGCACTTTGGAGTTCAGCAAGTATCTACCTGCACCATGCGTGAGCAAAAACGCCACAGGGAATGGAGAAGCTGAAGTCCCTTCAAGCTCTGGTTGAAGTAATGGCCGAAGGTCAAGGTCTGCAGGCCGCTGGGAAGCTGCAGTCCCTCCAAGCTCTGGCTTTCGCTTCAACTATAGCTTGGAGGGACTGCAGCTTACTAGCGGTACACATACCCTGACCTTCGGCGCAACATTCGACCAGAGCTTGGAGGGACTGCAGCTTCCCAGCAGCCTGCAGACCCTGACCTGCGGCGAAGAATTCCACCAGAGCTTGCAGGGACCGCAGCTTCCTATTGGCGTTCGGACCTTGACCCTCGGAGCAAAATTCAACCAGAGCTTGGGCTTTCAGCTAATTGGGTTCTCACCGTTCGGTCAACTAAGCCTCAAGATTCGCACGTTTTCCGGTCCTCCCTCTCGTGGGGCTTCGCTTAACATACACGGCACACTGCAGCGAGACCAGGGATTTTGCAGGGACTCCCTAAACCCTAAACCCTAAGCCCTAAGCCCTAAACCCTAAACCCTAAACCCTGAACCCTAAACCCTAAACCCTAAACCCTCCTCCCTCCTAGACCTTAAACCCCTAAACCCAAAACAATGGCAGCTTCCCTCCCAGCTGTCCCAGGCACCGGAGTTCAAGGAGTTGGCGCTCCGGTGCCGCTCCACCCGGGTCGCCGGGGCCAAGCGCCCACGCCACTTGGGGTTGGCCTCTTTGATTCAGACCCAAAAAACGGAGGGTTGAGGGATTATGTATATACGAGTAGGGTTTACGGTTTAGGGTTTGGGGTTTAGGGTTTACGTAGGTTTTGGGTTTAGGATTTATTGGAGTGTTTAGGGTTCAGGGGAAAATACGAGAATAAGATGTAAACAGAGAGGGGCTTGCTTATGACAACAGAATTTACACAGGTCCCCAATGTTTCTAACAAACAGTGGAGGGTATGGAGGAGCTCCATCTGTAACACCAGCCCGAATTTTCTGGCAGCTTGCATCGTGATATCATGGGAGTTCTAAGACTAAGGGGCGGATGATGTTGCCGATTGCTGTGGACAGAGCCTGAAACCCCCAGAAGCTGCTCTGGCACGAAGCATCGCAGGCCCAGCCGCGCCTCGTAGCAGGCGCAGCAGAGAGCGAACACCTGAGCTTTCCGGGTACAAAACCCCAAAAAGCGTGTCCGCCCCGCCCACCCCCCCTGGTGAAACCTTTCAATATTGGGGAGCCGTGGCGCCCTTCCTTACGCGATTGCCCTTGTTTTTAGAAAACCCGCTTGGCGGCCAGTGGCGATTTCCCCGGCCAAGCCATTAAACCAACAGAGACAGAAATGTCGACCCGCCGGTGCCTCGCCGCAGGACCAGCAGTTCTTGCAGGCATAGAACTCCTTTTGTGGGCGGTCCCCCGAGTCTGAGATCGCTGACTGCTGAGCTACGCAGGTCGAATATTGGGGCCTGAATGATTAGAATAGGGTTTTGGGGGTGATTATAGGATAAGTACAAAGGGACCATAGGGGAACCAGGTAATGTTTCCGACCCCTGTACTACGCAGAGCTTTATCTTCTCCTTGTCGGACTTGTCGCCCTCGAGGTCGAGGATGAAGGTGCTGCAGGCACCGCAGCTGAGCTTCTCGGGCAAGGCACCTGGGAGAATCGCGAGGTTGCTTGCGGAGCTTTGTTGCGGGGTTACACACTGGGCATTGCAGGTGGGTAAGAGTTGTCTGCGAGAAGCCCGGAACGGCCCAAGAAAACCCAAGAACTAAAAACCCTTTCGACATCAAGCCCCAAACCCCTAAAAGCTGCGAAGCTTGCTCAGCCGAGTGGCCCGAGTTCCTTTTGCCGGTGGAGGTGGCAAAGGGGAAGGCCTGGCTCCGGTGAAGACGCAAAAAAAGGAATGGATGAAGTCCCCCAAACTCTCCACTGGGGGCCTCCACCCCCTTCACCCCTCCCACCCGAAAACCCCTTGAACTCCCGCTTTGAATCCTCCCCTTTTTGTTTGCTCATGTGGCCCGGCGCCGCCTGCCGGATGGTGTGGGCCTCCATGGCGACATGCTTCAATATGTCAGCTCAGAGTCAAGGGCAACAGCTCAAGAGCAGACCCCCAGCGCCTTGAAGAGGTCCGAGGGCTGACAGCACTCCTGGCGGGCTGGGCTGCTGAGCTGTGCGCTCCGTGTCAACCGCTGCAGCAAACCTTTACGGCTGCTGTGCCTGAAAGATGCCCTCAGTCTCACAACTGCCCCACGCAAGTCCTCATGCACGTGCACCGACTGCACGACCGTCTTGACGGTCCTCAGTGAGGTGAGACGGCCAAACTACAACAGATAGCTGTACCTCCCAAAAAACTCCTCCACTTCGTGGGCATGGCTCAGAAAGCGCATTGATCAGTAGAATCGTGGAGTGATTTTAGGGTACGACAAAAGACAAAAACTCTGAAGCAATCCTCCGACAACACCTACCTAACTCTCCCTCAACTCTCCCGTCGAGCCAAGCCCAAGAGTCTTGGGAGCCTCGGCCCGCTCAATGGATGCCGAGCGCTTCGGCTTCTCCTCCGGTCAGCAAAGAAAACACCACACAAAGGGAGTAGGGAGGGGACACTGAGTCGGAGAAATGCCGGGGGCCTCAGAGTGGAGGACTCGGAGGCTCCTTGAATCGTGCCTATACCTTTCAAGGTCTGCAATTCTCAAGCCTCTGCAACCAAACGGTGCTCGTTGCGTAATGGGGCAATGCTTATGTAGGGGTCATCCCGACGCATGTCCCGAAACCTCCTGAATGCATGGGCGCCGCCTCTGTTCGAGCGTACTTGGACTTCTTCGGGTTCGACGCACCGCTGCCCATGGCGGCAACGCCAGAAGGAAGAGCTTGGGCTAAGCGGTTTATAGACTGTTGACACATGTTCCAATCATGTTTAGGCCTTTAGACAGCTTAGGGGGTAGAGTCCAGGCCGTTGGGGGGGAGGAGGGGGGGGTGGGAGTGGAGGGGTTGGGGGTCGGACCTCCGGCGACCTTTTGTGGGAGCGCTGGCTTCGGTGCAAGGAGCACTCTGAGGTTTCAGCATGGAAGGGGGTTGCATGAAAGTCCCTGAGCCTACACGTTCCTTTCCGTCAAGAGGGCGCCAAGTGAAAAATGAACATGGCCTGCCCCACTGGCTCCACGCACCATGCGCTCTCCCAACTTTCCATTTTCAAGCACGTCCCTGAAGGAAACCCGAAGCCTACAGCAGAAATGCCCAGGAGAATCTGTCGGTTCAGGATCCCACACGATGACAAAAAGATGGTCCCCAGTTGCAATCTTGGTCTCCGTAGCCTTCACCTACCTATGCCTATACGGCCTCAGCCGCGTCTCTGGCTGTCCCAGCTCAAAACAAAACAGACAGAGTACCGGATGCGAAGCCGATTGACGAGAAAGATTAGTCCCCGTTCGGTGGGGGGGAGTTCTGGGTGCTGCTGCTCTACAGCCTAATGGTATTCCCCCAGACTGGTCAGTTCTCTACCTTGTGGTCCCTTTTTTGGTGTACCTTTTATACTATTGGAACCCCCAAAAGGGACCCCAATTTATCTCATTCCCCTCTGTAATCGACTATCCCATGCACCTCGTGCCCCCATGTTGGCATCACAGGGCTCCAGTGGCCACAGAACCACGAGGGCACCCGCTGTACCGAGAGGCCCTTCCTCGAGAAAGGAAGGGGAACGGGTGGCGGGAAGCTAGGGTCTAGGGTCTAGGGTCTAGAGTCTAGGGTCTAGGGTTTAGGATTTAGGATTTAGGATTTAGGTGTTAAGGTTTAGGTGTTAAGGTTTAGGGTTTAGGGTTTGGGGTTTAGGGTTTTTGGTTTAGGGTTTAGGTTTAGGGTTTTTGGTTTAGGGTTTAGGTTTAGGGTTGAGGGTTGAGGGTTTAGGGTTTAGGTCGGAACTGGGGTGGGCTGGGAGGACATGAAGGTTTCAGGATGGTTGAAGTTGAAGTGCAGCTTGCACAGTTCCCTCAAGCCTCTTCTGTTGTTGACGGTCTCTATCACTTGGGATGTTGCCTCTTATACTGCTAGTATAAAGGACTGTAAGTATACGGGGGAACATCCCAATCTATCATCTTCACTGAAAACCCTGCCTTGAATCCGCCCCCAATCCTGAAGACACACTACTTGTGGCTCGAGGTGCAGCTTGGTGTGCTGCAGCCGGGGAAGGATGCAGAGCCTGCAACGCAATGTCCGGGGCTCGACATTTACTCTTCACGGCGACGCACTCTGAAGTGGAGCTTGCGTTCTGCCGCGATATTTCGGGAACTCTTTCTGTGGATGTCCGTGGCAGAAAGCGCTCGACCCGCCACACGACAGGCCGCTAACCCGGCGCCCCAACCAAAAAAAGTTAAAGGTCACTCAAAAAAAGGGATCCGAGCCTCTGCCTATACTCAGATCACCCAGATCACAATTTGCACGGCTCATACGGCTCCTTTCAAGGCACAGTTCCGCCTGGTGCAGCGGAAGCCCCTCCACCAGTCGTCGCTCATGGCACCTTCGGACTGTGCCTCAGAGGCTCGCTGGAAGACGCTTCTCGAGGCTTCAGGGCGGCTCCTCCATGTGCCTCTGCATGTTTCGTGATTCAATCCGCAGAGCCCTCGCATCCGGCAACCGCCGTCAGAAACATTTTTGCATTTTCGCCTTTTGGAGCCTTCGAAAACCATGCTTCTAAACTCCGTGCTGCCTGGAGCAGCAGTGCCGAAGCCGCCGAGCTTTGCCCGCCAAGGAGCGTCAGGCGCCTCTGCTTCTTGCATGTCTCTTCTTTACGCATGTCGTCTTTTTGTGACAAGGGCGTTTCCGAAATTAGGGCACCTCATCGGGGTCCTAGGGAAAAGGGAATCCTACTATTGTCAATACTGGGGGTCACAAGTTTTCGTGGGATTAAGTGGGATGGGCCAAACAGCCGGCTCAAACCGCTCGGAAAGGCACCCGGCCTGAGCTTTGGGCACAGCTTGGCGAGGTGCATCAGACCTGCCAGGTCTCTTTCAAGGCTTCCCCCCCAGACTTTTTTCGGGGCGCCTTGCCCCCGGGCCCTTTCGATGCTGCCTAAACCCGCATAACCCGCCCCAAACCCTCAAAACCTGTAAACCCTAACCCCAAACCCCTAAACTCTACTAAGCAACCCCACGCCACCCTAAACCCTGTAATCCGAAACCCCTAATTATGCCCCCTAAACCCAAAACCCCTCTAAAACCCTGCGAAAGACCCGCAATAAGGGGGGGGGGGGGGGGGGGGGTTGGGTTTGACGTTTAAGGTTTAAGGTTTAAGGTTTAAGGTTTAGGGTTTCGGGTTTGGGGTTTAGGGTTTGGGGTTTGGGGTTTAGGGTTTAGGGTTAAGGGTCACCCATCTAAGACCTTGCGCCTGCATCGGAGGGGCCGCCGGAGCCCAGGAGGTGGAGCTCCGTGAGCTCCGCGAGGAGGTTGGCCCTGGCTGAGTAGAGGGCTAGGGTTTAGGGTTTAGAGTTTAGGGTTTAGGTTTCGGGTTTCGGGTTTAGGGTTTAGGGTTTAGGGTTTAGGGTTTATTGAAATTATTCAGGGTTCAGGTCCGGGGAAAGTTTCGAGGAAAGTTTCGAGGAAAGTTTCGAGGAGCTTTTGAATAATTTCAAGTTGCAGGGGGCTTGAGGGTTTCGGGTTTTGGGTTTAGGGTTTAGGGTTTAGGGCTTACGGTGTAGATTACGGGTTTGGGATGAGGGGAATGGGTTTCAGGGTTTAGGGCTTAGGGTTATAGGGAGCACGGGTTTGGTTTGAGGGGAATGGGTTCAGGGTTTCGGGCTTATGGTTTCAGTAGAGGGGGCTTAGAGGGTTTATAGGGAGTAGGGGTTTGGGTTAGGGGGTTTGAGGCGCGAAACGCCCTGGGTTTCCGGACCTTCCCCAAGCGCGGATGACGCTGTTGGGAAGCCCGAACCTGCAGCTTCGGGGTTCGATAAGGACAAGTCCGCCTTTCCACGTGCTTTGAGAAAGACCCAGCAGGGTTGCTCAACTATACGACCTGCCTAAGACCCACATTTTTGTGATGTCTCTGGACGTTTCAAAGCCCGACATCCCCGAACCCTCAGTGGTTCTGAGCTCCAGGCGGCAGGGCCAACCGAAACAGCCGCCCAGCCAGGCTCGGCGCCTCGCCACTTGGGCAGATAACTTAAGCCGTTTAACTTGGGATGTTGCCCCTTATAGTAACCGTCCGTCGTCGGGATTGTACTAGGGGGTACTATAATCCCAGTTCAAGACTGTTAGTATAAGGGGAACATCCCACAGCTTGACCAAAGTTTACGGGGTCGAACTCAAGCCGCCAAGCACCGAATTCCGACTGTCCAGCCTTGGCGGACAGAGACATGGCTACGGAGTTCGCAGCGCGGAGCAGCTGTGTTACCTGCGATGCTCCCGACAGCCGCTCATGTCCGAACTCTCTTTGGTTACCTGATCGTCTAATCAAATCACTGCAGCAACATTGCTCTCCGTGTTCGTCCTCCTCGTCCTCCTCCTCCTCCTCCTCCTCCTCCTCCTCCTCCTCCTCCTCCTCCTCCTCCTCCTCCTCCTCCTCCTCCTCCTCCTCCTCGTCGTCCTCGTCCTCGTCCTCGTCCTCGTCCTCGTCCTCGTCCTCGTCCTCGTCCTCGTCCTCGTCCTCGTCCTCGTCCTCGTCCTCCTCCTCCTCCTCCTCCTCCTCCTCCTCCTCCTCCTCCTCCTCTCCTCCTCCTCCTCCTCCGCCTCCTCCTCCTCCTTCGTCGTCGTCCTCCTCCTCTCCTTTCCTCCTCCTCCTTTCCTCCTCCTCCTCCTCCTCCTCCTCCTCCTCCTCCTCCTCCTCTCCCTCCCTCTCCTCCTCCTCATCAGCGGCATCGTCATCATCCTCGTTTATGTTGTTGCTGCCATCGTCCTGATCCTCATGTTCATTGAACCCTCCTCTTCTTCCTCACTGCGAATCATCATCAGCATCATCATCATCAGCCGCATCAGCATCAGCAGCAGCAGCACCACCACCACCACCAGCAGCGGCAGCGGCAGCAGCGGCGGCAGCAGCAGCAGCAGCAGCAGCAGCAGCAGCAGCAGCAGCACCTGTAAGCCACTACCACCCTCAAGCGGGAGCGGTGGCTCCAAAGCACCCGAAGCCCTCAAGCCCGAATGCTCCGGCTCAACCTTTCTCACAATTGTCACTACGTGCCGTCATGGCTTGCCGACACTCCGCTTGAATTGTGTTTGACGGCCTTCGGTGTTCGGGTTTGGATGCAGGATTGCGGGGTACAGACAATACAGCTCCGGGGCCTTCCGGAGAATTGCCTCGGGGGCATTCGCATTCGCCAAAGCCTAGCAAAGGCATGTCAAGAAACCGTGAAGTGGTCAATTAATTGACCTCAACCCTAGATTTCAGAGCTTCTTCTGCAACCCAGCTGCTTGATGTTGCACCCAGTTTAGTATCGCCACCCAATTTAGTATCGCTACCCGCTAGTTAGGGAAGTTCCGGAAAAAATATATGGTGTTGAATAAGAAGGCCTTGGCAGACTCAGAGAGAGACACAGAGAGAGACACAGAGAGAGACACAGAGAGAGACACAGAGAGAGACACAGAGAGAGACACAGAGAGAAACACAGAGAGAGACAGAGAGAGAGACAGAGAGAGAGACAGAGAGAGAGAGAGAGAGAGAAAAAAAACAAAAAACAAAAACAACGGCGAAGCTGTCCTGAGCTTGAACTTGCTGTTTGCTGCGCACGTTGCAACTCAATGTCCGAATGGGCATCTGAAGCACGGAACTCCACCCTCGCTTCGTCGATAAGCCGCTGACTGGCTAGAAGCACACGCTGGATCATCCTCGCACGAATTCTTCGGCACCCGCAGGGCAGCCTCATCGACGTTCCGGCTCTATAGCGAGTCGGACAAGTCTGGGTGGCACCGCGGGCACGTACACTGCTCGACAAGCCCGCGCCAACAGGAGAGGCTCCAAAGAACCCTTCACAAGGGGTTTACGGCGGGAATCAGACGTCCTGCGCAGCGACTCAGGCAGAAAACCTCAAGCGTCAGGACAGCTAGCGCCCCTGTCAAGCCTAAACCTCGAACCCGAACTACTTGCTGCTCCTCGTCGTGATCTCTTTCAGACGATAAAACGACACACGTCGCAAAAGGATTTTGTTTCAGTCGCGCTGAAGGCCAAAAGATAACTTGTCAACGCAGAATTACTGCTATGCGCCGGCGGCGCGACAGCAGCCGGTCAGATACGGTACATTTGAAAGATCCACGACTTTCTGCGCGAGCTGCCCCTCACTTCGTCTGCTGCACATGCCACAGCAGTGCGTGACTCCACAGACGCGGAGGATGTCCGCACCCGCAAGAACCGAGGGACCGGAGGAACGAGGAAAACAAGGCGAAGCTGTCCTGAGCTTGAACTTGCTGTCTGCTGCAGATGCTGTCCGAAGCGGCATCCGAAGCAGCAGAAAGCTCGGCATGCAACTGAAGAACTTGCTTCCGATGCGTCTCCCTGCCTCGATGTGCTTCTGTGATGCAACTTGTGACATCGCGGAGCTCCTCCTCTTGGAGCGCCACCCTCGCTTCGCCCACAAGCTGCTGCATCTTCGTCCGACTAGAAGCTGGATCCCGCCAGGGCAGCCTCTAAGTCATCGTCCGTAGTGAATCGGACAGGTTATTCAATCCACCTGGTATCCAGGTTCCTGTCCAGTCCTGGCCGCGGACTCATCATTCGGCGCCCGAAGACGCTGTAGGTGCAAGTGGTGCGACCGAGCATGCTTGACGGCTGCTTCAAAGAGCTGCAGCTGTGGCTCCTCCATGCAATCATAGTCCTGATAGTGGTCAGGCGTTAGCTCCAAAACAATCGTGCGAGAATGGATCTTCTTGTTTCGGAGCGGATACTCGCCCGACTCGACAGCAGGAAGGGTGGGCTGCGAGCTTAGCTGCACGCTTCCGTGGTACTCGGGTCCGGGAATCTATGAAAGTTGGGGGGCGCGGGGCCTCTCTGAGCCTGTTCTGGGCCTCTATTGGCTGGATGACCTAGCATAATGGAAATGGTTCATGAAAGCAACTTTGGGCCGAAACCCGGCCGAAAAAGTCTATCAGCACCCCCGTTATAAAATGCGCCTATAACACATAATGAGTATCGTCTTTACAGAAACTCCCTCAGGTAAGTCGGGGAAGCCCCAATCCTCCTAAAACCCTCTCAGCCCCTGTCGCGCCTGGCGGCTCGGAGCATGCCCTGCATGCCCCGCGTGCACGTGCCCCGCGTGGCCCGTGTGGCTCGTGTGCTGCAGGCCCTGGAGGGCCACCAGCTCCTCGATGTCCTCACTCCGCTGATTGGTGCTTGGTGCTCATTGGCGCTTGGCATGTTCTGGGCGCAGTGAGATCGGGGAGGTCTTAAAGCTCTGAGACTGGGCACGGGACCAACAAAAGAAGCCCTGGAAATTTCCCTCAAAGCACCACGAAGCCTGAAGAACTGGCAGCGAAGTGCAAAGCCCTTCGGGATAAAACCTCCGAGCAAAGGCAGTCCTCGGGCTCGATTGACAGCGGCGCCCTCAGTCGGGGAGTAGCCTGGCATCCAAGGCTTTGCCAGATAGAAAACACAGCAACCCCTCAATTGCGATACTCCAATACTCCGATTTCATAGAGCAGGGGTTTTGGTGCGTTTTTCGCAAAGGAAGTATTTTGGGGGCTGTTCTGAGGGAAAGAACTGCGAAAAACACGTAAATCAGCGTGACCCTCTCACGTGATCTGGCACCAGAAGTTTGACCCCTCTGGCCTTATAGGCTCCTGTGAGATGACCCCGACGCACCCCCAGAGAAAAAAGAGTCTGGCCTTGGATGCCAGCGCCAGTGCACGACAGGTGGGGCGAAGCACCAGCAACGCCTCAACATGCCGCAGAGGGATTAGGGTTTAGGGTTTAGGGTTTAGGGCTTAGGGTTACAATCCTCTGAGAGACACGACACCCGAAATGTGCCTCCGAAAGGTTCAGGTAGGCGTAGAGGCTGCCCAGGGAGGCCCCGCCGCCAAGGACTTCGTCGCAGAAGCTCTTCAGAAGAGAGTCGCCCGGCCTTTAGAGCTCGGGCTCTGTAGAACACTTCCCTAAACCCTAAACCCTATAAACCCTATACACCCTACAAACCCTATAAACCCTTTACACCCGATAAACCCTATAAACCCTGTAAGCCCTATAAACCTTAAACCCTACCCGAAAGAGAGCAAGGGGCGGAGGCGGCGGGCAACGCCGCTGCGCGGTCTGCGGCCGCTCGGCGGGGCGTCCCCTGGTAGGGTCCCGACGCTGGGGGCAGAAGTAGGGTTTTTTGAGGTGTGTGTAGGGTGTGGGGGTGGGCGCTTATTATCCTTCTTACTAAGCTGGATGTCCATGGCTGCGGTCCAGCTTCACTGTCTCGGAAACACTCGACGTCCGAACTGCATCTTGTCTTGTCCCGCATAAGGCAAAACACCCTCGTCACCACAACCTGAACTCAAGTGCGCCCAGGAGAAACGATGCCCGCCATCCTCAAGCCTCAAAAGCCCTCAACCTCCCGTCCCCCTTTTCCCCGAAGTTCTGAAGCTCGGGGGACCCTCCAGACCGGGACGGCTCGAAGAGCCGGGCGAAGGCTGTGAAAGAACAAGTACCGCAGCAGGTGGTCATGGCCTCGCTGCCTTCGCTTGCAAGCTGCGCGTGTCAAGTGTCGTATGAGGGGCCTCCCCACCTTTTCGACCTTGATATACTTTGGGCTGGTTATGTGAAGTTTCGAGGCTTTGATGGAGCATCGCCGGCAGGTGTGCGGAAGCCTATAGGGCCATGACCATCATGGCAGTGAAACTTGAACGTCGCATCTTTCCCTGCGCCTTCGAAGGAACTTGAGAGGGACCTTTAGAGATAACTTGAGGTGATCCAAAGGTGCCGAGAGACACCAGCGGCTGCTGCAAGCGTGCACGCGCGCAGCGGCTTGAAACTATGAGGCCCTGAGCCAGGCAAACCTATAAAGTCACATGAAAGTTGCGGAAGCTCGGAGTTGGAGGTTCTTGCATCCGTAGCGCCTGTGGAGGCCTGGCTGTTGGCTTTGCGGTGGGTTGTGGTGGGGTCGGTTTGCGGGTCTTAGGACCCAAAAAGGCTCGGGGAAGTGGGCTGGTGGGGCGCTTTGGGCTTTGGGGCATCTTGCCATGAACACCTCCAGTGAGCCCATGCGGCTGCGGCCAGGCCGAGGCGGCGGATTCGAAGTCGCGTTTCGGTGCCTCCCTTAGGGCCAGCATTCCTCTGCCTCTTACACACGACCACCTTGCGTCCATATTCAGGGTCTTCGGGCCCCTTTCTGTTTGATGGCAAGCGCCGGGGTAGCGATGGCGCACTTTGATTCAACTAGCCCGACTCCGCAGCCTCACCTCAAGACCGAAACCCGAACACCGGCACCCGCGGAGCATCCAACGCCGAACCCTTCTTGGAGGCAGCTGAGCCCTTACCCTAAACCCTAAACCCTAAAACCCTAAACCCTTGTTTCCCGGCCCCCCCAGGGGCCCCGAGCTCCAGATCCAGTCTGATGCGGGCGACCTCACTGGTCACAGCAACAGCTTCGGCTCGAGGGCGCAAGAATCCATCGCATTGTTCTGTATGGTGGTCAGTTTCTGTCAGTTCCTCAACAGCAGACTATTGACAGCAGGAGGTTCGGGAGTTGGCTTTCAGAGCTTGGGGGGATCATTCGGGTTCTTACGAAGGTCGCCTCACCACAGTGCAACAAGAAAAGCTCGAGTACTGCGCCAGAATCTTGGGGGGGGGGGGGGGAAGTTAGGTTAGAGGGCGCAGGGCTGCGGGTTCTCTTGCTGTGGCGCACACCTCCTGCAACAAAAGGAGGAGGAGGAGGAGGTGGGAGAGGCGGGGGGGTGGGGGAGGGCGGGGGTGGCAAAAGAGGGTGCAACTAGGCGCCTCGGAGTTGATCTCCTGCACCTTGGAGCTCAGCCTTGCCTCTGGCGGAATGTCAACAACAAATATGAAGAGGAAAAAGAAAGTACTAAAGAAAATGGTTCAAATATGTCAATACCAAATAATTCTTCATGTGCTCTGAGATGTTAAGGGGGGCATATGATCAGGTCCCGCGTGGAGGAAGCCATGACCTGCCCTGCTCTGTCTGCAACTGGACCATGCACCCAATGCACCTCCCACCAAATTACAACCTCATATACCATCTCGGCACCACATCTTAGGGTATGTTCATGGTCCCTTGATGAAGGCCCTCATTTGGGGAAGCCTTCTCGGATTACGAAGAACTCGCAAATCTCATGAAGCACCCCCGCTCCCCCCCCCAAATGCCGCAGAGAGCGCGCCTCCGTACTGCCCAGCTCCTTCTCCAAGCTTTGGAGCCGCTGGCTCTCCATGGCGAACTGACAGGGGCGTTTTTGGGGCTTGCAGGGTTTGCAAGAGCCTGAGGGTAACTTGAGTTGCCTTTTTAAGGGTTTCTTCGAAGGTTTTATGAGGGCAACTGTTCAGTTTCCCCCTGGAATGGCCAGCCCCAGCTTCGGGCTTGCGGGGTTCCGGCACGAAGAGATTTTCACGCGAGGTGGTCTGCTCAGAGAGTGGAAACCCCAACCTGAAGGGCACACCCAGCTCTTTCACGCGAGGTGGGTCGTGCTCGGAGCCTGGCCTTTCTCTCGGCCCAACTTCCCAGCTCTTTCAGCGGCGCATCCTCTGGCAGCTCTTCAGAATGCATCAGAGGGGGGGGGGGGGGGGGGGCGGCCGAAAATCGGGGACCCTTATGAGAGTCCCCCAAAGAGTAGGATTCCCATACAATCAGGACCCCAATAAGGTTCCCCCCAATTTCGCAAACTCCCACATATGAAAACCTACGGAGCTTAGCTGGAATCTTCTGGCTCCCGTGGCGACTTTCTCCCTTGAGCTCGGGGCTCAGGCTTCCAGACTTCAACAATGCTGAGCAGCTCTCAAGACCCCCTGCAAGACAGATCTTGTATTACCTTTTGCGTTGACTTTGAATACAGTGATTGAAAGACCTGTGCCAACCGACTGCAAGGTGCAAATCTTGAAGATCCGCCCCTCCAAAACCTCCAAACCTACATTCAAACCCACAATGCAGGCCCCCAGAACCAACTCCTCTACACTCTGCCCAATGCCCCTTTTCTGATTATAATGCAATCCATAGTCCCCAAAAACCTTGCTACATCCACTCCACAAGAAAGCTCCGAGAAACTCTCGGCTCCACCTCTTCGAGCTCTCCTCGAATGCTGGTGACTTGGCGCTCGATCGCCGAAATCTGGCGGAGGCCGTGCCGAGAGAAGATGCTTGGATCAGAGCTGGAATCAAGAAGTGCGCTTGTTGCAGAAGAATCAAGCCTTCTAGCGCCCCCCCCAATGCACCTGGTCCTTGACCCGCATGAGCTCCTCCGAGTCAACTCTTTTTGCTTTCGTTACTGAACTGGAAGCTTCCCAAGCGGACGTGTGGCAGAAGCTTGGGGCACATGAAGGGCTCATAAGGAAGATGATAAGAATTGAGGAATGCAGCTGCAGTGCAAAGGCATGCTTGTATCCGCCACCCACAAGGAAAATGAGAAAGCCCTCCAGCACATCCCTTGCTTTGAGGCCTTGAGGTGACACTGACTCCAAAGGCTCTCAAAGACAACCTCTGTCGGGATGAAACTCTCCACAAACTGCCAGTTGTCCGTTTTGACGCATCTTTGCGGTGCGTCTTCGACTACCACCACGAGGAGTGAAGGGAAGCATCGATTCAGCACGAAAAAGGCGGACGTGTTGCAGTTGGGTACTTTTTTTGGTACAGAATCGAATCTTGGCTCAGCGGTTGTTTTTACCGAGCCTGAAGTCGGGTCTCAATCTGAGGCCTCCCCCTTTCTCTCCTTGGCATAACTTCCCCCCCTTCCCCGCGCGACTCTTGCACCGGGAAAGGCAGCGAAGGTGAAACCATGCAAGGTGAGCCATTCTGGGCTCCGAACTCAAGCAGAGAAAGCTGGCACATCAGCAACCACAAAAACATTAGACTTAAAAGAACAGCTATACACTCTCTACACTACATCAAGCCCCTCTTTCCAAGGCACAAAGAACTCACAGATTTCCCTGGGCCATCGCAGCCACGAGCGACATCGGCGAGGAGAGCGTGCTTTGGCCTGCGCGCTGGAAGGGGCCTGAGCAAAGGAGCACACACGTTGGCGACTTGGCGAGTTCCCAAAACAACTCCCGGAAACAGCCCCGGAAACCTTTAAAATTTCTAAAATGTTCCATGTGGGACCGGAGCCCCGGCAGCAGTCGACCCCAAGCCAAACCCAAGGCAGCGAAGTGGGCCAAAACCCCGAACCAGACACCATGATTCGGGCTCGGGGAATGGGAAGGTTCAAGTGACGAAGTGTCTGAGCCGATTTGACTCAGGGCTCGGGGGATTGAGGCCCTGAAGCAATTGCTGTTTTTACGGCAGTTTGCAACTAAGGTTTTTGTAGGGTGGGAGGGAGACGACAAGCTGCACAAAGATGTGTGATAAGGCGATAGACCTGGACAACAAGCTACTTTATTCGCTACTTCATCTTGGGTTGGCAGACAACTTCTGAATCTGAAACCAGCCAGAAAGAGCGCGCCCTTGTGATGTTTTCTCTGGTGCAGGATGGCCGTACTCTTTCGAAGCAAGGGCTTTGCTGCTTCGCAGCCAGATGATCACAGAGATCCAGGCCCACTCGCTGTGGGGCTGGTAGGGCCGCCACTGGAGGGGCGCGGCTAAGGCGCAGCTAGGCGGCCCTCGACCATCTTGTGGATCCATTTGTTCGGGATGTTGCCCCGGTCGCCATCATCAAACTCGACGTCGCTCTCCAGCTCGCCCACCCTGACGACCTCGCATGGAGAACCGGAGTCCCCCCTAGATAGCCTTCGTTTCCTTGGATGTTGTCGGGCTGGAGAGGTAGGGTAGTACAAGTGGCAGGCTTATCTCACATCAGGCCGCGAGAATACACATCACCCATTGTGGACGCTACATAGCGGGAATACACATCAGCAGCGGAATTACACATCAGGGCAAAGCAATCCCCAAGTAGACGCGGGAACTTAGGCAAGCAGCAACATGGGTCAAACAACCGGATTCGCCGCGGACGCCAGCGTTTTTTGCACCTTCTTACCGTATATTGACCATGTTTCGAAAGCTAATCACCACGCAGACGCTAGAAAACAAGCAACTCAGGAAGCTCTAATTAGATTCAAGGGCTTGGTCGAGTTGCCGCGGGGCCGATCAGGGTGACCCATCTATCTCCGTTACTTGACTTGCCTGCACGAGGCCGACTTCGACGCATCGAGAGAGAGAGAGAGAGATAGATATACATATATATATATATGTACTCTGGGCAACTCAGTTCCCAATGTGGACGCCGATTGATGACAACGAGGCCGATTTCGAGAGATATACTCTGGGGAATGCAGTTCCCCAATGTGGACGCAGATCGATGCGCAAAACACCGAGTGAGGCGAGATACCGCGGGTACTTGCCCGAGCGAACCCGAAAGTACTCGTCCAGCACCACATGGTGGTCTTTCCAAAAAAACCAAAACTGTAACCCTTTTGAACGCAACAATCAACCCGGGTTGCTGCATTTTGCCCCTTTGCCTTCATGTCTGGAGCTACACGTCAAGCTTGGTTGCGCACGTACTGTTAGGGCTTGAACCCCATATACCCCGAAGCGCCCTTAGGGCCTAAGGGCACCCGCCTTGCCAGGATTCAGTGCTGCCGCCTCTTCGGTCCAGTAGGCCCAGACACGGTCTCCACACCCCCAGGGCTCACCCAGGCTGAAGACCTCCACAAGGGGCAACAAAAGAATTCACAATGAAATCAAGTCCAAGAAGTCCAAGAACCTATAGTCACTATAGTCCTCTCGACCCCCGAAACCCAACCTCGGCTTCGGGTATCTCCCTCTCGTCGCCATCGTGGGCCCGGAAGATCACCTCGTCGACTTTCACAACTCATGTCTTGGGCATTCTTGGGCTCCCTGAACTAGCCCTCGGATTCGTCGGAGGACTGCTGTCCCTGCCCGCACTACCCATGAGGAAGAACATCTACATAGCCCCCGAACTTCGCACCTTCCCTTCGGGCGCCAAAGTGATGCTTCCCTCGTAGGCGTGGTTCTTCCTCCAGTGGATGATGTATTTGCCACCAAAGCGGGGCTCGCCTGCGGACTCAGAGCTCGTCGCTCCTTTAGAGGTTCCGAGCTTCGCCTAGTCGCCTTATACAGCCACTCGTCCCTTCAATTCTGGGCTTCCGGACAAGGCGCCCTTCTGCAGCGCGGTTCCCTTCACCATCTTGTGGATCCACCGGTTCGGGATGATGCCACGGTCGCCGTCATCAAAGACGACATCGCTTTTCAGAGGCCCAACTGCGACGACCTGGAGACTCCAAACTCACAGCCCGGGAGTTCTAAAGCATGTTATTTTAACAGCTCATGAAAGACTCTGCGCGAGCGTCGCTCACCCTCACATCCCTGACTTTGCTCAGAATCTTCTTCGCACCCTAAACCCGAAACCCTAAGCCCTAAACCCTAAACCCGAAACCCTAAACCCTTGGCAGGCATCCCGCGCCTTGCCAGGAAACAGCGCGGCAACGCGGTCATTCCAGTAGGCCCAGACGCGGTCGCCACGCTCCCAAGGCTCGCCCAGGCTGAAGACCTGAAACCCGAAAGGTCCCCAGTCTTCAAACCCCCTTTACGATGCCAAATCATGCCCTCTCTTTGTCTTTCTAAGGCACCCTTAGGGCCTAGTGAAGGTGCCCAGGCTGAACTTCGGAAAACAAACTCCCGAAGACCTCGGCTTCGGGGATCTCCTTGCTCTTGTCTTGATCGTGGGATTCGAAGATCACCTGGCCAACTGAGCTTCACTGGCCACAGTGCAGTTCTGACGTAAGCTCACAGGCCTGCTTATCAGGGCGGCCGTGGCAGAGCAGAGCCTCAAAGGCCTAAAGCTTCGAGCTCCGGTGACGCGACTTCGCCCCTCTGAAAGCCCAGCCCCACCTTCCCTTCGGTGGGCGCCGGGGCGATGCTTCCCTCGTAGGCGGCATTCTTGCTCCAGTGGATGATGTGCGTGCCGCCAAAGCGAGGCTCACCTGCAGGCTCCTATACTCACCCCGAAACAAAGCCTATTTAAAAACCTCGCTCAGTCCTCTCTGCAGAGTACTCGTGGTTCCTCTGCTTCAAACATCCCACAGAGGGCGCCTTTATGGAACTGGGCGACGCCTTCCACGGTCATCGACGAGTCATCGCGTCATGGCTCCAAACGGATTCAGCACCCTAAACTAAACCCAGAGGAGACAGAGTAAGCTCTTTCGGCTTCATGGCTTTTGCTGCGAGTTGTTTTCTTTGCGTAGTGGGGCTGCGCTTGAAAGGTATGGGGCCACAAGGTCACGAAGAGCGCCATAGTTACAGTTGTTGAACCCCTGGGCTAAAGAGTATAAAGCTTCGGTCAGGAAGCGCAGGCCGCTCCTCTGTTGGCAGTCTCCCAAGCCGGAACATACCTGAACGAAGTCTCCCAAGTTGTTCAACCTCCGCGATGTTCTCGAAACCCGCTGAAACATGCATCAAGGCACTCGCGGCACGGCTCTGGCGCAGGGATGGCGCGGAGGCCCAGGGCGGGATCACCTCGAACATGGCGGTCTGACTTCGGAGTTCACGGCAGAGGCTTGACTCAAGCCCAGGTGCATGGAAACCCTCTGAAGTCCGCGAATGCTTTTGGATCTCGGAGAAGCCACCAAAAAAAAAACGGGGGGGGGGGGGAGTGGGGAGGCCTGCGCCCGCGGGTCCTCCTGGCGGCAGGCCATGTAGGGCACCTCCGCGGCTGTTGGAAGCTGCCGCACTTGTCTAGTGCGTTGTCGTGCTTGAGGTTGATAGGATTTAGGGCTTAGGGCTCGACCGACGTGGAGCTACAGCTTTGCAACGCTGTCCAAGCCATAAATCAAAGGTGTTACCAGATTCCGGTATGGTGCGGCAGCTGCACTGGCAAGACCTTACCTGAATCTGTTGAGGCCCTGCTGAGAAGCGCAAGTGAAACCATGTGACACTTTGTTGGGCTGTTCAAGGCAGCCAGGGAGATGTGTGGAGGTTTTGCAGGGTTTGGCTGGGAGGGCTTCAGGAATGAGAAGCTCAAGTTGTGTCTGTTTGAGGAGTTCTGGGTCCCTTTTTAAGCGCTCCGCACCAAGTGCCAAGCAGATGAGGCCAACGCTCTGGAACCCTCCAAATCCACGTCCTGCAGAGCCCGACTTGCCCCGAAGAAGTCTTGTGGGTCGCGCACCGGCGGGGGGAATTTCGATGCGAACTCCCGCGGCCGATGGCCTGAGCTTCAGAAATCGGGGGCTTTATAGGGGCTTAAGGGCTCCAAGCTTGATGAGGTCTTGGGGGCTTTTCAGGAAATTTAGGGTTGTTAGGCCCCTTGGGGTCGCTTTTCGCCCTTCGCTTCGGATGTAGGCCGAGTCTTGCCCGACGCCCTCAACCCCAAAACTGTCCAAAAGTCTACAGTCCCTTAATCCGTATGCTCACTGCGTCAAGGTTCATCGGGTTACATATTTACTGGGTTACGGATTATATATATATATATATATATATATATGTATGTGTATATATATATATTTTTTATGATCTTTCTTAACATTCACCTGCCGTTCTAGGGATACACACACATATGTATACACACACATATATATATATACACACACACACATGTGCTTATACTTACACACACACACACCCTTTTTTAGGACTTAGGCAACTTTTCCCGCCCTCCATATAACAGCACCACCCTTATGGGAGTGTCCGGCCTGGAGCCGAGCTCCGGCTGCGGCCCGCCTCGCCGCCTGAGCGTGGAACCCCCCCCCGCCGAAAAGCCGTGATGTGCGTGGAAACGTAGGGTTCTTAGGGTGTTTTAGGGGGTTTATAGGGCGTAGGGTCTATGGGGCGTTTAGGGTTTACAGGGTTTAGGGTCTACAGGTTTTTTTGGGCTTATAGGGTCTTTTGGGTGTTTAGGGTTTATAGGGTCTTTAGGGTTTAGGGTCTTCGGTTTTTAGGCTTTGGAGGGTTTCGGGCTTGAGCTGCTCCGAGCTTTGGAGCTTTGGGAGGGGGGGGGGAGGGGGGTCGGTTCAGGACACAATGCTTCGTCTCACCTTTCGGTTTCCAGGAGTAACATTCAAGAGCAGCCTGCCGGGCCAGACCCTTCTTGATTCGTCTCTCTTTCTATTTGCATGTCGATTTGCCTCCTTTGGCCCAGTAGGCATCGAAGACCACAAAGTGGTTGGCCTCGTGGAGGCAGGCTGGTGTGCGGAAGACACCACTCCACTCCCACAAGTCAGAGCTGAAGGTTATGCCCTTCCGGATGGCATGCGTTTAGAAGGAGCCTCAAGATTTCTCCCGCTGAATCAACCATGCCACAACACCCCTGCACCACAAGTCTCTGCTGCCTGCGGCTGGTACTGCGCCAGGCCAAAATGTTTCCGCAAGAAGCCGATCAGCTTCGGTGAGGGCCGGTCATAGCCAAGCCTCGCGGCTTTTCGATGGGCGATTCGAGCCGACTACTTCGCACTCACAAAAGGCTCAGGCTCACCAAGCAAAAGGATGCTCGCAACATCCCTTCCGCAAGGCCTCTCGGGCGAAATATGCTCACCTTGACTCCAGAAACACTGGCATTTCGAGGAGTCAGGGAGCAGTCACAAGAGCTGTTTTGAGGGGTTAGGACTCTGGCTCTGGCGTGTTCCTATCGCCCCAACTTGACCGTTTGGGGAAGCTCCAAGAAGCAGCTCGGCAGCGCTCGGAACCAGCCAGTAATGTTCGCAGCCGGGTCTGCAACTCATCTGACCGTGACTCCGAAGCCATCCGATGCAGCTCTTCAGCCCAGGCACATCGGAGCATGGCATCGAAGAGACGACGCCCCAGGCCTGCGAACGAAGGCTTTGGGGGGGGGGAGCGTAGAGATCCTGAAGCTCGAGAGCCCCAAAGCGCCATCCCCCAAACTCTCCTCAACCCCAAAGGCCCCAGCTAAATCCTCGAAGCATGGCTCCACCCCAACAAAAATCATTCCCCCCAAAGAATGACCCAACCTCCGCGCTGGTGGCCCTCGACCACATAGAAGTCCAGGACGCAGGTCGGCGAGATGTCGACCAAGCCCTGCACGTTCCCCATGTGAGGGAAGGGTTTGAGGGCCCCTGAGGGCATTGAGAGTAGTTTGAGCGGGGCGTGAGGGTGTGGAAAGGAGTTGAGGGCCTCTTTCGAATCGTCCTTCACATCCTTTTTCCACAGGCCTGAACCGCGAGGCTCAGGACAACACCATACCCAAACCCCCTAAAAGAGGCTTTGACACAGGCCGAGGCACCCAAGCCCAAAGCAACCGAAGCAGCCTTAGACACACCGGAAAGTCCCAGTCGAGGGTTCCTAAAGCCCAAAGCCTAAAGCCGAAAGCTCAAAGCCCAAACCCTAAACCCTAAACCCGAAACCCCCACTCCTTTCCCGGGCGCCTCCTTCTCGCCTCGCGAGACGAAGAGGCGCTTTGTCCCGACCTCGGAAGCTTCAGGGCTCAGGGTTTCAGGGCTTCGGGTTTAGGGGTTCACTTGCGTGGCTTGGAAAGAAGGGCCCTCCTGGGCGCTACTGAGGTTTCAAGGTCCGCCCGTCTGACCTTCCTGAAGACCCAGAGGGGCATGGGGTTGAAGCCCTACACCCTAAACCCAACCCTAAACACTAAAACCCTAAACCGTAAGCCACAAACCCTAAACCCTAAACATCTTGCCGTGACCCCCACCCGTTCATGGTTTTCCCTACCCCCCTCAACACTGCCCCCGCCCCCCCCCCCCCCCCCCAATTAAATGACTTGAACCCCCCCCTCAGAGAGTGGTGCTTCCTTCTTTGGGCCCCCCCGGCCTTCAGAAGGCCCAGGGCGTGGCGGCCGGCATAGAGCACGTAGGCGCGGTTCCTCGCTCAGAGAGACCCCCGCTGAAAAATTGGTTGCCCTCATAGACCCCCGCCTCAGCAAAACCCTAAAGAGACCCTAGAAAGATTTTCTCAGGGTTTTAGGGTTTAGGGTTTAGGGTTAGGGTTTAGGGTTTAGGGTTTAGGGTTTAGGGTTTAGGGTTTAGGGTTTAGGGTTTAGGGTTTAGGGTTTAGGGTTTAGGGTTTAGGGTTTAGGGTTTAGGGTTTAGGGTTTAGGGTTTATTTCGGGTTTTGGGCTTTGGGTTTATAAGGGTCAAAGCCCATGGGACAAACAGCCCGGTGTCGACAGCAGCGGCCGGCCAGTCGTCACCGGCTTGGAGAGGCCTTGGGCGCGCCTTCGAAATCGTTGAGAGAGCCCTTCTTTTCAAGCAATATACTGGGAACGTGGACTTCTCTATGCGATAAGGGGCAACTTGATAGAAGCAATGCACTACGTGCCCCCGCCGAAGCCCATCCAGAAACAGAACACAACAACCGCCCCTCCAGAGCGAAAGGGAAAAAAAAAAAACAATTCTCACACAAATCAAACAAGTACTCTGAATACATATATATATATATATATATATAGATATAGATGTCTTTATTGACATTGACTGAAAAACAGTACCCTAAGTATATTTATATGGTACAACGCTAAATCTTGCTCCCCCCCCCCTTCTTGGGCGCCTGGAGCCCTCGCCCAGCACCTCCAGCAGCTGTTGGAAGGCCGCGCCTTTCGAGCTGCTGAGCGCCTCGGAGCTGTCGGAGCTATCCGGATCTCTACAGAAAAACAAGCCGTTTTCGGGTGTAAACGAGTTTTGGGGGGGCGGGGGGGTCAGATGAATCTGGGCCCCTCGCAGAGTCGTCCAAGCGCGCCACCTGCCACGGATGTTGGGCGTTGGATCGCATGTCTCTATTGATGTATTTACACATATATAGGGGCTTCTCTATGAAGGCTGGTTTGCTGTGGGACTTCAAAGGTGTTTTTGGACGTGTCCCATGGCCCTGAGAGCGCTCCCGATTCGCCTGGGGCGTCTCAGCTTCTCCATGCTCCACTGCGAAGGGCCCCAGGACCCGGCCGACATCGAAGTCAAAGTCCATCGGGATCCATGGGGGGTGCGCCCTAAAGCTCGGAACAGCCCAGTGATATGCGTTCCCCCCCCCCCCAAAAAAAGCACTATGGAAAAAGGGACTCTGGGAAAACCTGAAAAATCCGAAGCAAGCACTGCGACAGCAGATGCTGATGCGGATCTCGCTATGGTCGCTGCAAGTTCGGCAGCCGGATGTGCATGGTGCTTTGTCCCATGTTGCATGTCATCAGGGGAAGAGTCTCAGGGGGTCTCACGGGTCTGGGGGTCTTACGGGGTTTCGGGTCAGGGGATCCATGCATGACCACTCCCCTGACAGCTGGTGTCAAACAGAGCCAAAGCAGCAGAGCCCGGCGCTTTCTCGGCTAAAAGGCGTCGGCTTCGGCTTCAGGTTTGCGGAACATGGTTGTGCTCTGGACACACTAAGCCTCTGCACCTCCGAGCCCAAAGCTCTTACATCCAGCGAGATTCATCCAGAATCCAACCCGCAACCGGGAGTACACACACACACACCCAAAAATAGAAGAAAATTGCAAAGCAACGCCTTCCCCCTTTCCCCGCTTCACCTCCCCCCCCACCCCCCACCCCCCACCCCCTTTCCCCCCGTTGCCGGCTCCTGGCTCGTGGAGTCCCAGGCGTCTCTGCCGCTCCCCTGGTCGGCCTCGGATCCCAAGCGCTTCATAAAGTTATATGATGCGTGATATATATATATACACACATATATATATATATATATAACAGATTATACATTACTTTATCCCATTACGTATTCTAGACTGTATTGTGTATCTCATATATCATATACTGATGTTCTATGTTCAGATCTTATTCGTATTAATCCTGAAAATAACTGCTGTATATGAGTGCTAACAATAGTTAGTGTTCGGTATCCCTTTGCTAACAACCCTTTGGGCTCCGAAAACAGAAGCGCCACATCTTTGCAGCATCAGCCTCCCAAAAATTTCATAGCAACAGCCTGCCCGGTCTATGACGAGCCCCTCAAGCCTCGCCTCTTCTCCACGACAGTGGAACCTCCTCCTTTCAGGGGTTTTCGGCCCCAGGAAGGTCTCCAAACCCAGCACATTTACTGAAGAAGCCTCGGACCCCCAGAACCCCAAACCCCCTGCTCCAACCCAACAGAGCGGCCCAAGCTTGGCCCCTAAACCGCTCTGGAGCCGCGGGCCCGTGCCCGTGCCAGCTCGCGCGACATGCCCTCGACCACCTGCAGCAGCTTCGCCTCTTTGCCGGGAGAAGCATCGTGGAATCAGAGGGGGTTCAGGAACTTCAGGGATTTTAAGGTTCCAGGGTTCCAGGCGCTGACAGAGAAGGGCGTGCTGACTCTAGAATGCGCGGCAGTCGTTACTTTACAAAAGGCTCTGCTGCCAAAGCAGCTGATTTCGAAGTCCCGTTACAAGAGGTTGGGACATAAGACGGAAACAACTAGCAGCAACTAGCAAGAAGCACCTGCAAAAATGGCGAGCAAGGTATGACAAAAGTACTGAATGGGTCTGAATGGTTCGCTATGTCGTCCCACTAGGTATGCATCCACATTCAGTCCCCTGTCATCAGTCTGGGTTTTTGGCCTTCGGTATCCCTTGGTGCTGAACCGCGGAATGGCTAAGTACGAGTAGGGAAGATTTCGAAGTCAGGGCTGGAGAATCTCTCGACTCCGCTAGCCACCAGTCCGGGCATCGGCTGCCTGCGCATCGGCCACTGCCCCGAGCTCGACCTGGCTCCGGGTCTTCGGGATCTTACAGCCTTCAAGACCTTGACTTGCAAGGGGGGGTTGAGAATGTGGTGGCTGAGGGCTGGGGTGACTATCCTCAATTCTTAGCTAAGGCGGGCGCGACATTCCGAAGAGTTGCCTGCTGGTTCTTGTCGCTTTGGCTCGGAGCGCGAGTCTTCAGCCAAGACAAGAAGTTATGGGAAGTTATGGTGGGGGGAGGGGGCGGGAAGGTGTGGTCCCTCTAGTGGCGAAGCGAATGCGTCTCGGCGTAGCGGAGCGGATTCCTGTTCTCGGACGTGTTGCAGCACTGCACTCACGATGCTGTAGCCACATACGCTGCTCCCTTGTCTGTCGGGTAATCTGCTATACGACTCCACCAAGCACTTCTATGACATGTTCATGCAACAAACAGTCGCCAACGCACAGAACCTCATTCTTTCTATGCACCGACGTTTATCTGAAACCAGACTCCCCACAAGCCGCCGACCTCCAATCTGGCCGCCGAAGCTTCGGCAGCGTGGGCCGTGGCCTGGAAAGCCACACCCCACCCGACCCCACCCCCTGGCAACCCCCACAAGCGGCCCCACACCCCACATCAAGGTTAGGGTGTGGGGTATTAAAACCCCCCACACCCCGAAGGAGCCCCCCCCCTCTCTAGCACAGGCCATATAGGCCTCCTGCGACGCAGCGACCTCTGAGCGAAGGCTCTCGAGCTCACCTTGAGCGAATCCCAGCTGGAGGCTTCCATCCCTCATCAAGCCCTGAAATACTTCCTTAACTGCTACAAGAGGAGGTCTGATGGTCCAAGCGAAATGCTCAAGCTGATGCTTGGCTTCCAGGCTTGGGCATCTCTGCATCGCAATCCGACGAACGGCTTCGTGACTAAAGGTTTCTTGGCTTCACTATGCAGCTGAGAGACCCTCCAGGAAGTTCGGCAGAAGCTGCCCAAGCCGTGCATCCACCTGTGGAGAGGGCAGGGGAGGGGAGAGAGAGAGGGAGAGAGAAAGAGACAGGGAGAGAGAGAGAGAAAGAGCCAAGAACCCCGCCTGCATGTCCACCCATGCCCTCAGCTGCACCCCGTAGGTCGCCACAGCAGCGTCATATTTGCCCGTAGCACCTGGCAAATAAAGCATGCAGCTCCTAATTCCTCTAACCTAGACTGTAGACTTTCCCACTCCAAGGATCGTGCCTTGAGCTCGCTGGCGCGTCACCTGAACAGAAGGAGAGTCGGATCGAGGATGGAGCTGTGAAGGGTCGCGAAGGGCCAAGTCGTTGGGGTCAAGGTTTTTTTTAAGGCTTGGAGCACGATGCTTCACTCCGATCAGCCGGTTTGGAGCTGCACACCACTGAGTGCCTGGCCGTCTGTTGCAAGGCCTCCTCCAAGGCTTCCACCTGCCGGGCAAATGTGGGCAAGATGCAGGAGCCAAGCTTTGGTGTCAAGGACTTTTGCGGGTGGGTGCGGCACTGCTGGGTTTAGAGATGATGCCAAGGCCCCGAGGGCTAATTCCAAGCAAACAAACCGCCAAACATTCCTCAGCTGCCTCCTCGATCACGGCCTCTGCACCCACCGCATCACCTGGAGCCTCCGGAGCACTCGGACAGAGCGGGTCGTACACGGTTACAGGGGCGCGTTCGGACAATATATACTTAAAGTTCGCACGGGCACTTTACCGCTTCAATCAGGATGAGTGACGGCAAGGAGGATGAGTCTGATGGGTTCTGCCAGGCCTACAGCATGAAGGGGCCAAACCTCTGGCCAGGCCCCTTTTTCAAGCTTGAAAGTGTGCTCTGCATTTCTCCACAAACCGCGCACCAACCCTGACCCTTCCACTGAACACCTTTGCCCCATCTTCCCGCCGCCGCCTCCCGCAAGCGTCGATGCGAGTTGCGCGGCAGTGCCTCGAGAGGCTCCCCGAACCCTTGACAATCCTTGACAACATCTGTGGGAGGTTCGCTAAAACGATGTGACACGCGAACACCTTGCGGCCTGCACCACGTTGAAGTGCTCAGTCACTACTGGTAGGATTGTTGACTTTCATGAGAGGGATGCAAGAGGTCTTCGCGTCGTATTGAAGCCAGATTAGGCCCTTTGGGCCAGCAGTTCCAAACGACCTTCGAGGCGATCCCCCTCGAAAAGTCGCATTAAGAAAGAAGAAGACACCATCAAGGCAGCGACAAGACTAAGACTCACGGCACAGGAACAACGACCATCATGAACATCATCACTTTCCTACAGCCATGAGATTGTCGAGACACGCAAAGGCAAGACAATGCCACAATCGTTGAAGATCCTCCGGAATGTGTTCAGATGCGACGTTTTGGCCCCAAATCCGCACAAAACTACCATTGCATGATCTTAAACCCCGATACCAACCAAGCCTTCAACCTAAACCTGCCTGCTCTTGGAGCAGTCGGGCTTGCTGCGCTCACGGCGTGTGCAACAATCCTACACATGATTGGCCAGAACCATCACTACGCGCGAACCCTTATACAACAAAGAGATCGTCCTGTGTCAGCCTAGCTGCTGCCGTCATCTGGCGGCAAAGGTGCCGCGATGGTGCAAGAAAGCGCGAAGGGCTTTGGCTTCGGCTTCGAGGACTTGAGGGGTGCTTCAGGTGTGTAAGGCTGCTTAGGTTTTGGAGATGTCAGGCTTGGGTTTCTTGGGACATCTAAGGTTTCATGGTTTCAGGCCACTTAAAATTTGAGTGAAGTTCGACTTTACCCTATGTCCCATACACATGGCTAATCCGCATCTCAAACTTGATCGCGAGCGGTGTCTGCTTCTATCAAGTCGGGCACATGATATGGGAATCCAGGCCGGTCGACGGGGGAAGCAAATGCTGGGCCCGGAGTGGCTCCCCTTGGGTCCCCAAAGCGTTTTGGGGTTTTTGGCGACCTGCTGGCCTCCAATGCCTTCTTGGGAGGGGGGGCGGGCGACTTTGCACCCTTTTTTGTGTGAGACTTTGCCGGAACTCAGAGGGGGGGCCCGAATCTCCCTAACACTCCACACTCTAAGCCGGGAGAAGCCGGGCACGCTCGTCCTCCCCACTCTTCTCAGATGATTCTGCCTTCTTTGGCAGCTCCTCCAGAAGGGCATCTCTTCGGACAATCTTTCGCTTTGAAGAGAGGGGGGGCGTTTCAGAGTGCTGGTTGACAGAAGTAAGAGGGGCGATAGAGACTAAAACAGGGTCGGAGAGCCTTACTGACTGGGGAGGTTTTGGGGATCCTTTGGCGGGCTTTCGGGTTTGGGACTGACGTCCCGGCCCTACCTAGCACAATCCTCCTCTGATTCCAGGATCCATGCGAGCTGTAGGGCTTGCTTCCTGTTTGTTGCTTTGGCTCTGGGTTTGGGGTTTTCCAATGTAAGCTTCAGATCAGCAGGTCGCCCCTGAAACCGAAGGGCCCAAGGAACACTCCCCTGTCCTTGGCGTCGAGCCACTGGCGGAAGTTGGTCTCCGTGAAGATCTCCTCTTCCTTCCACGCGGGAGCCGCACGGCAAAGGCACAACTTCTCGAGTTGCGCCCGTCGCAACCATGGTTCTAAAGCTCATTACGATATCGCGATGGTGTGTAACCAAAGGAAGGTGATTCTGGATTTCAGTGTCATCTCGCGATCTCCATGCTGATCACACAAACAATGGTCCTTCTGGAGCCAGATCAGGTCCACCGGATCCAGATGCAAAAGCACCTGCACAGACACAGCGATGCTTTGCCACACACGCCTTCCTACCTTTGCTGGTGGAGGGCAAAAACCTTTGGACCGACCTGAGCCCCCCAAGCAGGCCCAAGACCTGAGGTTTGCCCGGGAGTTGGGAGGGGAATGCTGTAAGCATCGGCTTTCAACACATGGTCTCAACGCCCTGCACCGAGGGTTTGAAAGGGCTTCGGCCCCGACGCAGCCGTGAGCTCAGAGAGTCTGTCCTTTCAGGCCTTCAGCAATCCTTAAGACCCAGAGGAGGACACGCAGAATCACCGCGACCTAGTTTAGGGACGCGTCAAGGCACACAAAGTTCTCTCCGAGTCTATCAAGATCTTGCTCCATCAAAAAGGAACTGCATAACCCTAACCCCTAACCCCTAAACCCTAAACCCTAAACCCTAAACCTTAACCCTAAACTTAGCCCTAAACCCTAAACCCTCAACCCTAAACAAACTTGAGGCCGCCTCGTTGTCCAGGTCATCCTTCTCAGCGCCGCTCTTCCCGGTGAGCACTGAGGGCAGGGCGAAACTTTAGGCAGAGATGGATTTCCCAACTCCCCAACTTTGGGACATACAGACCACTTTGGGGTCACTTTGATACCCTGACCGATTGAGGCCCCCTGAAATACCCCCCCCCCCCCCCAGGTCGAGGGCTCTTGATTTCTTCTAAATTGTGGCCATTTTGGGGGGTGCTTATTATAAGGCTGACCATATTGCAAACATGCAGGAAAACTCCTGGCCTTTGGCTCTTGTCTTCTGGTACTCATCCTGGCCCATTGCGAGACTCTCAGGGACCTATCTCGCTTGGCTGGAAATCAGCACCTGAGATGCATGGATGGTTTGGGCTCCCCTCGTTCCAGCGGCTCTAGGGCTCAAGGGCATCATGCTCATTTCAAGGAGGCTGAAACCCTACATGATCCCTCCCTCATACGAGCACCCTGTCCCCTTTAAAATGTTGATTCCAGCGCAGACTTCAGCCGCAAACTGCAAAATCTCGCGCTCCTCGGTCCACCGGACATCCTCCTGTTTGAACTTGACCTGAAGCTGGCTGCCTGCGCAAAGCTTCGGCTTCAATGATTCAGCGGGCGGTGGAGAGGCTTTGTTTTTCAGCTGCAAGTGCAGACACACTTGTTTACTATACCTGCCTGGGCCTCTAGATCTCGGCCCGCACAGCTGAAGAAAGCCAGCAAGAAAACCCAAAAAGCGTAGTTTCGGTACTTGAGCGCTGCAAATCTCGGCGAGCTCGCCGACTCCTTCGCACGGGCCTACAGGGCCTTCAGCACGGCCCCAAACCTGCCCTGGGTAGTTTGTTGTCTCTTGATCTCACGCGGAGCAAATCAACCGTGATAACATGAACAGGCTCCACGCACCAGAGAAAAACCGCTGCCTCAGGCCGAGCGTATATTCGAACTTTTTTCAGGGGCGGCTACTTCTCGGTGACTCGCCAAGTGAAATTCGCGAGGAGCACCTTGCATCTTTGCAAAATCGGGAAACTGCCAGCGAGAAACAGTAGCTGTAGCAGCGCTTTTTCACACGGGTTCTCGATGCGAAACTCTCCTTGCCCGTTCTTTCGTCCTCGCCCTTCGCTCCGTGTCGGCACCGCAGTGACTCCCATAGAGACGTGCCCACCCCCGGATATCTCCAGGCCTCACATCGTGCCCACAAAATTGCTTAGGTTTAGGGTAGGGGCGCTCCAAAGTAAAACAGATTTGCTTGGGCCTCGGGGGCTCGTCAGGCTCGGCTCACAGCTTGGCCCGCACCCCTGCCTGCCCAAACGGCGCCGTGCTTGTTTGAGACGATCATCCTCCAGGCACCGGGGGCCGAACCGGTCCTAACCCCAACCCTGACTGCTGCTTTGGGGCTGATGCCGCGGCTTCCGGGATATGAAGAAGGGAAGGCGTTTGAGGGCAAGGGATCTGAGCATGCTTGTTGCTACAGGGCTCCCTCAACAAGGAAGACGCTAGTCAGCTGTACGAGAGTCTCCGCTCAAGCCAGCTCCTGCTCGTGCGCGCGGTGCAAGAGGAAACCCTTACGTGTGGTTAAGTGTATCTGTATTGTAATGCAAAAAACGCAGAAAACATATTTACACTGCACACACATCTGAACGAATGAATGAACGAACACATGTACGCAACCCCTGGTGTGACTGGCCCTCCCGTTCAACTCCACAGCCCCGGCGAACCCAGCGAAGCCGAGGCACCCCACGGCTTCGGTTCCAATGCAGTAGCCGAAGTTCAAGCCATCCTCAGCGACATGAGCGACATGTGAAGATCTGGGCCTTGAAGCCTTGAAGCTTGGGGAGGAAGCCCAAGTCACGGGACCGGAGGACGCAGCAAGGCCCCGGGAAGACAAGGGTAGATACGGGCTATATCGATGTTATTATGTTCGGTCCGGGTTCGCACTCAAAAACAGTTTTTTGGACCACCTCTTGCTGTA